TGCAAACCGTACATTCCAGTTTGCAAAAGATTATATTCAGTTTTATTATTTTACTTTCTTAGATTATGAAAGATAAATAATAAATGAAAAAATGAAAAGACAAGAAATTTTTGAAATTCCAAATTCGTTTGAATAGAATTTTTTAGAGAGAAAAATGTGTTAGATGTTCTTTGTGTATGGTCAGAGATACAAAAAAAATATTTTAAAGATGTAATATTGTAAAATCCTACATATTATCTATAGTTTCTTTCGATCTCGGATAAGGAAGGATGGAAAAGAGAAATAGGTTGGCCCTCAAGATGAAGAAAATATCAGACATCTTAGAAAAAGTGCACAATGAACGAAGTTCTTAATAATATATGCGATCTTTATATAAAGAACAGGTTCTAATTTGACGATATACATAGAAAATAATAATAAACAGAAATGTATGTTTTTTAATCAAAGATGTAAGGGCTGATATTCTGAAATAAAGAAAGGTATCAATCCTCATATTATGTGTTCTTATTTCTGGGAAATCAAGGATGTAAGCGCCATTAATTTTACTGTTTTCAAAAATGATTTCTTGACCTCTTCCAGTGACTATTATTTCTACTTTTAACCTTTTTTAGAAGCTACACGTGTTAGTTTAACAACTCACCCTTTTCATCTATAGCACGGGGGCCAAATGCTACTGATTTAGTGAAAACTTTTGGTTTGAGCCAAAACAAATTTATCTAGAATAATCAATTTTCAAACACATAATGTTCCGTCACTAAACGTGTCCCATAAATGTTGGTTGTCCTTTGCATTCGGGAAGATGTCCACTTGAAAGTTTTTATATTGGATCTTTGTAGTTGTAATGCGATTTCTTTAGCAGCCGATAAGTTCAGCGACCGACATTAAATAAAATTTTCAAGTCTCATAATGTAAACAAGTCTTTTTGAATTTTTAATTACTTTATGGAAAAGTCTGTCTATAAGACATACGTCTGTTGTGTGTCTAGAAATTACACCAAAAAATAAATATACGTGTATATTACTGTCAGAGCCAAATAAAAAAGGAATATTACATTTCTGTTCCGATACGAATCATCACAATACATATAAGTAACCCACAAAAACAAGATTTTATCAGACACTTTCAAATAAATTGAAAGTTTAAGAAGAGAATAAATATAGAAAATTCATATCATTAAAGTGTTCCCTATTATGTCAAATAGGGAAAAGAAAAATAAGCTTGCGTATGATTTTATTAAACATAATTTTCTTTTCCAAATAATAATAATCATCATCATCATCAGCAGCAGCAGCAGCATTATCTGATACCGTGTGACGGTACATATTGTCGTTTTGTACATATTGTCGTCGGCGACGATTTGTAACTACCATCACTGCACATATTGTCGTCCATCGATGCATATTGTCGCCGGCGACAATATGTACTGAGACAAGCCTTATTTTCCTCCTGCATAATGGACGACAAAATGTACAGTCAAGCACCAGCACATATTGTCGTCGGCGACAAAATAGACAGTCAAGGTCGGCATATATTGTCGATATATTGTTTTGACGAATATTTACTTGAGAAAAGAAAGAGAGATTGTAAAACACACACAAGCACGGAGGGAGACAGACAGCATTACTCGCAATACTGTAGGGAGAGAACTATTTGGTCAGAAAATTGTATCCAGGATTGATGTACATCACTTTGACATATCAAGATACCGTAATTCTTGAGATATCTTATAAATCAGCTATCCTTTTTTTCTTGTAATATGGAGATTAAATACAGGTATTTTTTGTTCAGTACATATGTAGTAATGATTATTTGGAAATTATTTTTTGAGTTATTCTTATATATGATCATTTGCCGATATAATATTACAAATATAATTTATTGTTAATAATAATATAAGAATAACGCAAAAAAAAAAAAAAAAAAAAAAAAAAAAAACATTTTTAGATCACCTAAACTGGAAGTTTAAGTGAGCTTTACTGATCACATTTTGTTTGACCGTGCGTCTGTCTGTAAACTATTCATAATTTCAGCTTCTTCTCAAGAACTACTGGGTCAATTTCAACCAAACTTGCCACACTTGCATCCATGGATATAGGGGATTCAAGTTTGTTCAAATGAAGGACCATGCCTTCTTTCATGAAAGTAGTTAAGAATAAGTGAAAATTCAGTGACTTCTAAAAATCTTCTCAACAACCACTCTGTCAGAAAAGTTGAAACTTGTGTGAAAGCTTCATTTAAAAAGTGTAAATTCAGTTTTATTCAGATCATGTCCCTCGGGGATAGGTGTGGCTACAATACATGATCTAAGTTTTTCATAGAATATTTCAAAATCTTCTTTTCAAGAACTATTGGGTCAGAAGAGATGATACTTATGTGAACGCTTTAGAGCGTACGTTCAATTTTGAGGTGCTGGCACAAAAAAGATCCATCACTGTTCAATGATCCTGAGTGCCAAGTATAGGTCTAAATTTGCAGCCCTCCATCGGTATGTGATGACGTCTCAATATGAATGAAAAAATCTCTAAAGGGACATTTTAACAACAAACAAACAAAAACAAAATCAATTGTGTTCAAGTCATGACCCCAGAAATAATGTGGGGCAACAATGGGTGATCAAAGTTTTATATAGGAATATATATACAGAAAATCTTTAAAAATCTTCTCAAACACCAAAGACAGATGTAGCACCCCCCCCCCCTCGCTTGGTGGTTTGATTTTCTTTTTTTATTTTGCTTTGGTAAATTCTGTTTGTTTAACTTGCATATACTTAGTCCACAGGTAAAATTTCATAATTACATAATTAACTTAACATATACAGTAACACAGATGGACGACAATATGCGCAGAGACGGAAAGTATACGTACACATTGTCGCCGGCGACAATATGAACAGGACGACAAAATGTACCGTCACAATTACGCTGCATGAAATAGCATACGAGATACGTCAGTGTAATTCTCACACCAATTACATTCATAAAACTACCAAAAACAACAAAAGACATCTTTAAACAACAATATCTGTGGAGCGACAATATGTACAGTGAGGGTGAGGCACATAATGTCGCCAGCGACAGTATGTACATGTACATATGTAACATTTCAGTCGGCGACAATATGTACAGATGGACGACAATATGTGCAGTGAGGGTACGTACATATTGACGCCGACGACAATATGTACAAAACGACAATATGTACCGTCACATACCGGTTTGAAGACTTTTTCTTTGGCGAAAACAAATTATAAATAGTCAACGGACCCTTTGGTTCAAGATGCAGATTTGGAATTACTTTTTCCTGTTTTTCTTCTACTATCTATAGAAGAACAATATATATAGCGATAAAACTACTTTGTTTTCCTAGATTTGGAAAAGGTTGTTCTAAGCTGGATTAGGTTCTGCCTCACCATCTTCCTTTTGACTTGTTAGTAGCGAAATTCATATGTTTTTAGTTTTCCACTAAGGCCGTACGAATAAGGATTTTTTTCACTACCATGGCATCTAGAACAATTCAAGTATGTGTTTCAAGCATATAGATATGGTGAATATATAACTGAAAAGCTAACTAAACGTGTTTTTTCATGTGTAAAGTACTGTTTGACTCCTTAAACACAAAACCGTAGATAATTCCTTGGATTGATTGACTGATTGTTGTTTTACGTCCCGTTCACAGGTACTTGTGGACAGGACCCCCCCCCCTCCCCCCCCCCCCCCCCGATATTAAACCCCGGGGCTTGTTGGTCATTTTTTTTCACAAATTATATTTATTACACTTAATCACCATGTGTACCATAGGGGAAAATCTTGAAAACCCCAAAATAACCGTTCCACATGAAAATAAACCCACTATACATAATAAGAGAGAAAGGTATGCCACTCCGGTTTGTTTACGTTGTATTCCCACTGGTCTTTCTCGGTTTAAAAACATGTATCTATTTTATTTTAACCTAAAATGTCGGTTCAAACTGTCTCTATATATATATTTCTGTCTTAGTTCATGCTATCGGATCGACTCTGCATCTCGTAAGAATCCCAAAATTAATCCTTAAACAACATTGCAGTCAGTGCGTTGAAAAATCCTGTTTCTTTTGTATCTACTTTCCTGCATTAGACGAGGTATTACAGTTATTTTTGAGTGCTGTGTAGCATACGTCCGTCTACACCGGTGTCGACTGATCATACTGAACAGTGTCCAAATCAGGCCCTTTATATAGGGGTCCTCAGATATAGCGAGGATACGAACAAAAATGGCGGACACATTGCTTTTACGAATCATGTTCAGCTTTAAGAAAGGTTCCATTCCAACTGATCTACGCTGAACATTAAATACACCGCGGTCTGAAGGTGTGCCTCATTTATCCAATCAAAATCTACATTCTATCTATAACCCAGACAAGGACGTTTCCCAAATCTTTGTTGAAAATTTCAGAATGTATAACAAACGAAACCAATCAAAATTATCATCATTTACAAACTACGAAAACGCAATCCTATCACATTTTATTCTTTTCGAGTGATGAAGAGAACCACGAATTTATGAACGTAATAAACTGGTAAATTTCATGTTCTCTACTACTAAAAATTCTTAACCCATGATATTAAAGCCTCATAAACCCATAGTTCTTTTATCTGAAAAAAAAATCCATAAACAACATTATTGTACAGTTCAAATTATAGATATTTAATGAATCTATGAAATTCTTATCAAAACTACTCAAAAGTTTAAAGTTATCTTACATGTACTCATATTTTTATAAACTTCTGTGGTCGACGAATTCGAAAGAATGCAACAACATGCCTTGGGTAACCATAAGAGAAAAAGTCACTGAAAAAAACATTACTCATTATATGTATGTTTGAATAAGCGAATTGATCTGATTACTCTAAAAAATGATTATACATGTATCCTAGGGCTTTTGATTACAGCAAACAATATTTTGAATGTCAGACATTCTTTGATATTACCATGCACAGCGATATATAATTACAAAAAATACATAATGTAAACCACTTTTTATTCGCGAGCGAGAAATATCCGCGAGTTTTGCAACCTACTTCTTGCGGATATCTCAGGAACCAATTATACACCTATGGACTATGTAGAATGTTTCCTCGACCGCAAAATTTAGCAGTCGCGGATGGATACAAAACTGAAAAATCGCAAATAAAGTATGTCACAAATACTAGTTGGTTTACAGTAGATGGTTAATCCTTTCCATGTGAATAAGTATAAGTCAAGGGTTTCCGTTTCGAAGAATTTGTCTCTTATTTGAAATCAGTTGGAGACGTGCCATTTTCTCTCAGTTCAGCTTTGCGTCTTTTATAAGCAACTAATTCGCTTATCAATTTAATTATTTTCCCCTGATTTGCGAGGTGTTGTGAAAACACACATTTTTCTTCAGAGTATCCAGGTTCACATAATCCTAAACAGGATCCGGTCACGTGATGACACGGTTTGTTACCTCTACAGTACCCACATCGTTCCTTACATTCTCTTCCATACCAACCAGCATTGCAGGCTGAGAAATAAAAGAAAAGAAAGATTATAATGTTTGCACAACTTCAAGATATCTCAAATGTCAAACTATTGATTGCAATGCAATTATCATCTGAATAATTTAAGTAATGCATATACAATTAAGGATGATAATTGCAATGAGAACAAAGTTATCCTTCGTTTCTTAAATGTATTTTAAGATTTATTTTGGAGAAGATACATTCAATTTTTAGTCCGTGTTTTGTTCAACGGAGATAATATTGCACATCAGTGTCAAATACCATATTTTTTTCATGATTTATTTTTAAAATTCTCTAAAGTACAAATAGTTAAATTGAATTTGCATACGCTCGTTGCATTTCTCTTGCTGATACCCAGGCTGACATAATCCAAGACAGGATCCGTTGACATGATGACAAGTCTCATTACCGCCACAGTGACTGCAACGGTCCCGACATCCTCTGCCATACCATCCGGGATTGCAGGCTAAAAAAATACATGTTAAACGTGTTCTTTTTACTCTTTGCTAAATATCTGTAAATTTGTTTTCATCAGTCATCTAATTTGCATGTTATAAACAAATCAATAGATGAATCTAGTTCTACTTTTAGCAGAACAATTCCAGCAATAATTTTTTCAATATGTGAGGGCTGTTTGAATAGTGTGCAGACTTGTCATAACTTTTTTGCTTAACATTTTGTTATATTCAATTTTGGTAGACATGTTTTTACATTAAATTCAAGCTCAATTTAAATTTCAACTCTATCATGAAATATTTCAAACTTATTGAAAATATACAGATGCGAAAATGCAAGAGTTGGGTAGAGGTAGAATGACTTAAGCTTCCGTCTGAGAAGACCCATAGGAGATCAAGATTCCTCAACTTCAGACGGAATACCCACGTCCTTTAATATACCCCCTTGGATAAACGTTTACTTCTTATCTCATCTTAATTTAAGTTCTATAATCTTTAATTTGATGTCTAGTACATTTTTTTAAAGTAAGCACTGAGCGTTATTTTCACAATTTATATGGACAATTTGGTTTATCTCTCATTATTATCAGAATACAAGGGATGTTCCAAAATCATGATACTTGTCTGTTTTCACCCAAATTTATTATTCTTTGACCATTATATTCGTCCCTGTCCTTCAAAGTACTCACCCTCGGCCTGGATACACTTTTTAAAGAATCAATCTACTTCTGGAAACATTTTTCATACTCCTCAATAGGGACACCCATCATATACTGATAAATTGCAGACTCAAGGGCCTTTCGTGAGATGTATCTTTTTTCAGATAGGTGAATGTAAGTTAGGGGAACAAAAATAAGTCACATGAGGCTACATCTGGAGAAAACGGGGGGGGGGGGGGGGGTAGGACAGTATCCTTTTTCGCCTCCAAATGCTCGGTCACATTGCGTGCTTTGTGTGCAGGCGCATTGTCGTGCAAAAGTCGGAGATACTTCATACCCGTTTTGGGACGACAACTTTCTTAATATTTCTTCAGTTTTTAAATAGCAACATTTTTATAGAAGTTACCTGTGACTGTTTTGTCCTTTGTCAGAGGACTTTGCATTACAGGGCCTTTATTGTCAAAGAAAATAACGTATAAAACTTTCCTCACGGTTCGTAATCTTTTAGCAATACTAGGACGTTCTGCATACTTTGATGTCCAGATTCTGTTAGAACTCTTACTATTTGGCTCGAAATAGTTTACCCAGGTCTCATCACCAGTAACTAAATTATCAAAAGTCTTTTGGGTATATTTTGGATGCAATTCTAATAATTTCTTTGCATTTTCAATGAGGACTCTCTTTTGTTCATAGCTAAGCAAATGAGGTGTCCAACAAGCGTTTATCTTTCTAAGCTGTAGATTTTTTTTTTTTTAAATACCATGAACACGTGTTAACGACAAGTTTGTCATCCGAGCCAATTGCCTCACGCTATATATTGCGTTTTTCTGTAAGATTTGGTGGATTTTTACGCGGGGTTATTATTGGTTATGACTGTTGTTGGGCGACCTAGGCGAGCAGCATTTTTGAGGTGTTCGTAACCTCTTTTATTTAAATTTAGCAACCCACCTATAAACAGACCTATGCCACATTTGACCAGTCCCATAGATATTACAGGTCTCACGGGTTTAATGCCAAGTAAGGACCAATCGTTTATATAGGACCTAATTACAAGTGCATTGTTTACTTTTTTTCCCACTCATTTTGAGTATAGTGAATAGCTATAAAGCAATTTACGCTCTAGCTAAGTCAGTGAAATTGTGAACATGAAATTTTCTTGCGCAACGGTTCAATGATCAATCTAACGTGTCAATGTGGTTTCAGTAAGATATTCACAAGATTTTCAGGCAAAGAAGGTGAAATGGTATAATTTTTGGAACACTCCTCGTATTTGGTCACATGTTTATTTCAGATTTGTGAAGTACTATAAATTATCTAATTTATTTTTAGTTAATTGTTTCGGAACTCTCGAGTTACAGTGACTGCGCTGCGGCAATGTATGTTATGTAATGTGTGCAGAATAAACTCTATGTTGAAGAAGGCAGGTCGGACAGCCCTCTTGTTGCCATGGCAATGATCTTCTAGTAACTAGTCTCATTATTCACTACTAAAATGTCTAAACATTTCAAACCTCTTTTGCAATTTTCTCCCTGATATCCAGGTTCACATAATCCGGGACAGGATCCCTTGATGTGATGACAGGTCTCAGCACCCCTACAGTGAGCACACTTTTCCTGGCAATTTTTACCATAAAACCCCATATTACATTCTGTAACGAAAATTATCTGTATATAGTTATATACACATACATTGTATATTAAACAATAAATTATTGCATTTTCCGAGCATTAATACTGAAATTAATTCATCGCTTAAAAGAGGTATTTCAGAGTAATTCTTTACACAGTTTAGAATATCAAGAGTGAGAATTTTCACTTTGTAAAGTATCATAATTGCGATAAAAATCTCAAGTTCCCTTCTCTTCGCAAAGAGTATGATAAAAATATTTATTTTTGTAAGATATCAAAAGTAAGTAGACCAACCAAAACATTTGTTATAAAGTATTTAACACTCTAAAAATATTTTACGAGACCGTTTGTACACGCCACGCATAACTGCTTGTATGAAATTGGGCACGGATCCAAATCTTTGTGCAAATTGGTGCTTTACGTATTATTCACCTCTTTTCATCGGCCTTTTTATAAATATGTATTTTTTCGATTGATCAACAAATACTTGTATTTTGGAGTGCCCACGTCCTTCAATATACTTCATTGGATATACGTTTACTTCTTATCTCATCTTAATATAAGTTTCGTAAACTTTAATGTGATGTCTAGTACATTTTTTTAAAGTAAGCATTGAGCGTTATTTTCACAATTTGTATAAACAATTGGGTTTACTCTCATAGTTATCAGAATAATTGATCACATATTTATTTCAGATCTGTGAAATACAACTGTGAATCACTTTGTATTCGCGAAAACTTCATTTTCACGTAATTACACGAGACAGTGTGCTCGTAAAAAAATCATTCTCGTGTACATTAGTATTCCTAAAGATTATATAGAGCAATAACCACAATTCGTAAATATTCTGTCTCGCCAATAAAAAGTCAATGACTATCTCTCGAAAATAAGGTGTGGCAAAAATTTAGTGAGCTACAGTATAAAATATCTAATTTATATTTAATTATATATTTCGGAACTCTCGTGTAACAGCCACTGCGCTGCGGCAATGTATGTTGTGTAATGAGTGCAGAATAAACTTTGTGGTGAGGAAGGCAGGTCAGACGGCCCTCTTGTTGCCATGGCAATGATCTTCTAGTTACTAGTTTCATTATTCACTGCTAAAATGTCTAAACATTTCAAACCTCTTTTGCAATTTTCTCCCTGATATCCAGGTTCACATAATCCGGGACAGGATCCCTTGATGTGATGACAGGTCTCAGTACCCCTACAGTGACCACACTTTTCCTGGCAATTTTTGCCATAAAACCCCATATTACATTCTGTAACGAAAATTATCTGTATATAGTTATATACACATACATTGTATATTAAAGAATAAATTATTGCATTTTCCGAGCATTAATACTAAAATTAATTCATCGCTTAAAAGAGGTATTTCAGAGTAATTCTTTACACAGTTTAGAATATCAAGAGTGAGAATTTTCACTTTGTAAAGTATCATAATTGCGATGAAAATCTCAAGTTCCCTTCTCTTCGCAAAGAGTATGATAAAAATATTTATTTTTGTAAGATATCAAAAGTAAGTAGACCAACCAAAACATTTGTTATAAAGTATTTAACGCTCTAAAAATATTTTACGAGACCGTTTGTACACGCCACGCATAACTGCTTGCATGAAATTGGGCACGGATCCAAATCTTTGTGCAAATTGGTGCTTTACGTATTATTCACCTCTTTTCATCGGCCTTTTTCTAAATACATGTATGTATCTTTCAATTGATCAACAAATACTTGTATTTTGGAGTGCCCACGTCCTTCAATATACTCCACTGGATATACGTTTACTTCTTATCACATCTTAATATAAGTTTCGTAAACTTTAATGTGATGTCTAGTACATTTTTTAAGTAAGCATTGAGCGTTATTTTCACAATTTGTATAAACAATTGGGTTTACTCTCATAGTTATCAGAATAATTGATCACATATTTATTTCAGATCTGTGAAATACAACTGTGAATCACTTTGTATTCGCGAAAACTTCATTTTCACGTAATTACACGAGACAGTGTGCTCGTAAAAAAATCATTCTCGTGTACATTAGTATTCCTAAAGATTATATAGAGCAATAACCACAATTCGTAAATATTCTGTCTCGCCAATAAAAAGTCAATGACTATCTCTCGAAAATAAGGTGTGGCAAAAATTTAGTGAGCTACAGTATAAAATATCTAATTTATATTTAATTATATATTTTGGAACTCTGGAGTTACAGCGACTGCCCTACGGCAATGTTTGTTGTGTAATTTGTGCAGAATAAACTCTGTGGTGAGGAAGGCAGGTCAGACGGCCTTCTTGTTGCCATGGCAATGATCTTCTAGTTACTAGTTTCACTATTCATTACTAAAATGTCTAAACATTTCAAACCTCTTTTGCAATTTTCTCCCTGATATCCAGGTTTACATGACACGGGACAGGATCCGTTGATGTGATGACAGGTCTCAGCACCTCTACAGTGACCACACTTTTCCTGGCAGTCTTTGCCATGAAACCCTATATTACATTCTGTAACGAAAATTACTGGTATATAGTTATATTCATATACAGTGTATATTTCAAAAGTTATTGCATTTTCTGCGTTTTAGTACTGAAATTTATTCATAGCTTATAAGGTATTCAAGAGTAATATCTTTTACAGTTTAGAATATGAAGAGTGATATTTTTCACATTGTAAAATATCATAAGTGCGACAAAACACTCAATTTCCCTTCCCTTCGCAAAGAGTATGGTAAAACTATTAATAGTTGTAAGATATCAAAAGTAAGTAAACCAACATCTTGAAACAGCCTTAAATTTCCCAATTTGTAAAATTCAATGTTTACAATATTCAACCCAACAACCAGGACGTCACTGACTTCAACTTTACATTACAAAAATAAAAGGCAAAATGAAAATTAAATACGTGTATATACAAGCTAATTCAGAGAATTTATGTCAACCGCTTATTGACAAAAAAGAGGGTGGAGGAAATGGAAGGGAGTTGTGGTATAAAATGTCATTGCAAAAGCTCAGAAGCCTCTTGATATATTGTCTGTAAACGACAGTGTTACACACAGACAAAATGTTTAAATTAATGACCTTGACCTTTCATATTTTTACCTCAAAATCAACAGAAGTCTTCTGTATGCCATAGGGAGTTATGATATGAAACTTCTTTGCAAAAGCTCGAGATATTGCCCAGGAAAGAAAGTTTTACACACAGACTGAATTCATAAAATTATGACCTTGATCTTTAACCTTTTGACCGCAAAATCGATAGGGGTCTTCTTTAGGTTAAAAGGGGTTTTGATATTAAATTTAATTGCAAAAGCTTAAAGAGATCTCGAGATATCGCTCGGAAACGAAAGTGTTACACACAGAGAGAAATACAGACAGACAGAAAGCTAGACAGACGGACGGACCGACAGACAGACCCAAATTAACATCCCCCACTTTCAGTGAAAGCGGGGACAAAAATAATATATATTATAAACAGAAATTTAAATGTTTTGCAAATGGTTATTTGATGTTTTAACTCGTGCTTCGCATAATTTAAACATTTCAAAAAATAGTGTCCCACTCGTGAAATATGTTTTTTTTCATCTAACTACTTTTATACATTCATATGAATAAACACACAATTTTTATACCACTTGTAGATGTTTTTATTGGAAAAAAAACCGGTTTTTTTTACTGTCTTAATATTTTTAAATGCCCTGCGGTTCATTATACAGTACCTCAGTTATATTTACATCTATTTTATCATATTCTCTGGTATCTTTATTATTCTACTGCAATATATTGCATTTCTTCTTAGAAATTGTTAACTATCGTTTGATAGACTTAGTTTTAAATGCTCGGATATAAAACATTCGTATTAATGAGTCGTGCACCTGATCTACTTTCCCACTCTATAGTTATTTCCATTGTGCCTATGTTTAGTACACATCGGGACTTAAATTTTTTTTCTTTTGGATAATTTTTGAACTGTTAAAGGAGTTGGAAAAATGAAATATACTCAAATGGATAACATATAACATCCTTTACAATTTTTTAGACTTGAGAGGAGGACAAACAATCTTTTGGTAAGCTTATACAAAACAAAAGATGTGTATTTCTTAAGCATAACAAAGTTAAATAAAGCTTGCATGAAATGAAACTTTAAATGTAGTCATCCTATTCTTTCTCTACAACTTGGTTACTGGTTTCAGTGAAGTTTTTTTTTTTAAAGCTTTTCTTTTTTTTTTCCCCAATTCATATTTTAACTCATCATAAGCTGTTGCTAGTTCATGCTTTCACTAACACAGAATAGATATCTTTCTTCTTTCAATAGTCTTTTTTTTTTGTTTGTCACAAAAGGGATACTTTTTAAATATTGTTTACACTCTATTCTTGCAGCACATAAGATTTTGAAAAGTTTTAGACATGCCAATTTTCAAAACAAAAAACAAAAAATCTGACAGTGTTACACTTCGAAGCTAGTGTATCAATAATTATAGAGAAAATACAGACCAAAAATTGTAAATTGATAGGTCCGTTTCTCAAATCCTTACTGAAATCAACTTTTAATAAAAATACACGTTTCATATCTACTTTCATTGCAGTCGACATTTTGCCAGCCATCTGCGCATCCTCCAGGGCAAGTACCGTTAGCTTTGTTGCATGGCACTTTCCTTGCACAATGTCCACTGCAAGTTCCCCTACAGTAGTACCCAAATGTACCGTCATCACATTCTGAAATAAAATAAAAATTTAAGAGATTGTTAAGAAAACATATTTTTTAAGGATATATCATAAAAAGTTTATTAACATAATTGTATACTTTCATCGCATTTCTGTTTACTGTATTTATATCCTGGTTGAACTCTTACTTTAAAAGAGAAAAAAAAATCTTTATTATGTATTCCTATGGTGGCATATTTCTGCCCCTTGTGTGCAAGTTATTTTTCTATCAAATATGTCGACATGCAAGATAAATATGTTGACATGCAAGATAGTTATGCCAACATGCAACATAACTATGTTGACATGCAAGAAAATTGCAATCAAATAAGAATTATAAAAAATCTTTAAGATATCTCAAAAATTGCCCACATGTGACTTCCAATATGCTAGATGCTACTTATTTATGTCGACATGCAAGATATTCATATTGACATGCGAAATAAAAATGTTGGCATGTAAGTTACTTATGTCAACATGCAACTTACGTATGTTAACATGCTACTTATTTATGTCAACATGCAACTTAGTTATGTCAACATGCAATTTGTTTATGTCAACATGTAACTTAGTTATGTTGACATGCGAGATAGATATGTTGACATGCAACTTAGTTATGTTGAGTAGCGGATATATATATATATATATATATATATATATATATATATATATATATATATATATATATATATATATATATATATATATATATATATATATATATATATATATATATATGATTTTAAAAAAGTAAATATCCAAAAAATGAAATCACAAATCGATGTAAATGTCTTAAGATTCATGAATCCCAAAAAAGTTTACAGTGAATATGATCGATTTGTGATTTCATTTTGGATATATACTTTTTAGAATATGATCAATTTTTCAAAATGATAAGATTTTGAATTAAATGATTAAATTTGAATGCAAAAGAAGTTATGTGATACACAATTTGAACATTTGTGCGAGCGTGCAGATTCGTTACTACCCAAGACACGTGCAATGAGGCACGGTTCTGTTTTATTTTTCTGTCGGCAAAATTGAAGTTGATTTTAATGATCAAAAATTTATTTAAGCAAATGTTGCAGTTTAAATTATTTTCTATAATATGAGGTGGACAACAAAGCATAAATTGGATTTCCTTAGATAAAATGTCCTGGCGATTCAGAACGTGACCGTAGATTATAAAACGTTTTAAGGGCCCTTCTCTGCGGGCTACCTATAGTAATTAGTGTGTCCGTCCGTCCATCTGTTCGTCTGAGGTCTCTTTTAAAGGGTGTGCGGTGACCTTGAACTATGTTTTAAGGTCTAAGATTAAGGTCATAGCAGAACTGTATCTGAAAAATGCATGTAAACATAAATAAGTTGCATGTCGACATAAATATGTTGCATGTCAACATATTTATCTCGCATGTCAACATAACCAAGATGCATGTCGACATAAATAAATTGCATGTAGACATAAATAAGTTGCATGTAGACATATTTATCTCTCATGTTAACATAAATAAAGTGCATGTTGACATTAATAAGTAGCATCTAGCATGTTGGATGTCACA